TGTTATATGAATTATAGAGTAAGCAATAAGAACATCTCCGATACAAATGGTAATGTCAATTGTATATTTATCATTAAAAAATGTGATATAATATGTTATTTTCATTTTTGATCCAATGCATAATGCTATTTGAGATGCTAGGACGTTTGGTTTATGTATTCAGAATTATTCTCGTTTTACGTGTATTTTTTTGTGAGAGAAAATACTGTAGAGAACCATAAATCATGATTCAAAATCAGAGACGAATATAATAAACAAACGTCCCATTCTACTATTTCCCATAATTATTAAGTTTTGAAAATTGTAAAAGTAAAATTTTATGTTTAAAATAATTAAAAAATGTAAAAGTTCCATTACATGAAAAAGTAAACATTTCAGCTAATAGAAATCAAATGCCAAATTTTCCATATGCTATATACTTAGTGAAAAATTTACCACAAAGTATAACATATGAAAAATTTGATACAACAAATAACATTATATTAAAAAGTATTTTTTGCACTCAAATGCTAAATTTATAATTGACACATTAATTATAATATTGCATCGGAGATGCTTTAACATTATACTCCATCCAAAAAATCACAAAATCGACCCAAATCAATTACCCGCCTCCATCCACCTCCACTATCGGGTGGTTCTAGGTTGGGATTTCGGGGATTTTCTTGTCCTCCAACCACTGTTGGGTGTATTCTGCACAACTCAAGTTGACAATGCTCCAAATTATTCAAAGAATAGGGTTTAAGAACATACCAATATCGAAGTCTCACATTATTCACCAAAAATCCAAAGTCCGAGATTACAAATTGTGCAACTAACCATTAAATTTACTGATTCAAATAATATATTTTACCTCCAACTGAGGTCAATCTCATAGCAAAGTGAAAGATCAACAAAAAAAAAAAAAAGAGCCCCATCCTCATCCTCTTGAAGATAAAGAAAACAATTAGAAATGCAAATCTGACAGAAATGAGACTGATCCAATAGCATTGCAAAAGCTTTCCTCGTTAACAAGGGCCTTTAAAAAGCATTCCCTCGTGATAAAGTAAGTCACTACAGGTTCCGAAGCTTGGCAAACGCAAAATCATATGGGAATGAGCTGCATCATATGAATGCGAAATTCTGAACAGAAACAAGCTGATTTGGACTAGTGTATCAAGTCAATGAACCCGAGGCTGGTTCTTTTTCTTCAATAAAAAATGGAATGGGCTTGGTTGGGGCTGGAAGGCGGCCGATGCTATCAACTTTATCCCTTTGTTTTGGAGGAGGTCTAGCTGCTTTCGGCAACAACCTGCCTTTCTTTTCAAACCACTCGGGTTTAAGCAATGCCCGGAAGCCCAACTTGTTGTAATATACTTTTCTCACAGACCCACCTGCAGCTTCCACCGCCGCCTTTGCCCTAACAGTGACCCTTGATACCTGTAAAGTGTATACTCCACTTAGAAGCCCAACTTTGTCTTTGCATCCATTGATAAGACCAATATGTAAAGACTAAAGCGTAAACTCCGTTTCCAATTGTCAATGTAACTATATACTTCATTCACCAGCTAAGTCTTTGATACATCCATGCATACCAGAACGTGAAATTAAGAGGAGTATATAGAACCAAAAAGTCATACAATATGCATATACTGCTTCACGTGTATAATTTTCCAGATGTCTCAAATGGCTAGCAAATAAAGTAACCCTGAAGCCTAAAAGTCAATAACTGACTAGCCTAGCAGTGAACTATCAGAAAATTTGGATTCCAAAGTCTAGAGTGTATGAATTCGGTTCCAATTGATTTGTATACAGTCCATAACACAATTTATCAGATAATATATAAATTATAAAACATATTTTGATTTCATACTGATACAAGTTTACAGCTGACTTCGTGCTACGTATGTATATTTTGCAATAAATTCACTTCGGCAAGCCAAAACGATTAGAAAAGGATAAAATAGATTTGTCACAAATTCATTACAGAAAAATGCTCATCAGTAAGAAAAAGTTATTCATCAGAAACAAAATAGCAAGTTCACTTCAGTGCAACACGCACAAAGATCTCAGATAAAAACTTACCTCAAGATGAATTGGCCACTTGATCTGGTCAGCACCACGTCCCATTAATCTTACTCCATCTTTAATTTGTTTTCCTATTGCTTCTGTATCCTATCACAATGTTGGCAACCAAATAAGCCTGAGGCCGAATGTAGAAATGCTTCAATTTCACAAGCTGGACTAGTAATTTAGTATACCTTGAGTGTTTTCATTGTAATTAGCTCATGAGAATCAATCTTGCCTTCATTTATGAGTTTTGCAATCTTTCCCAACCCCACTGGCTGCCAAAAAAAA